CTAGTGAATGAGTAGCAGCAATTCTAAACACACAGACCTGGGAATATTTCTCTTTGAACTCAATAGGATTGACTTCAGAGTAGACATGCACTGGACTGCACTGTCAGTAAAATCAAAATAAAAAATTGCAACTTCTTATTGGCTGTATAACTCATGTTAAAGTCAATTCACACCACATAACAGAGTCTGATACTGTTCAGTCATTTCTGTTGACGAAGCACTTCAACAGCCTTTAAAGGTCATAAGCATGAATATTAGTATAAGCAACAAATATAGAAATCATAATTTTAAAAATCCAATGTGTTCCTATAGTATCCAAAGATTTCATGCCTCCTCCCACAAGTCTTTTTTTTAAAAATTGCCCTTGACTTTGGAGTTTTAACATTATGGTTTTCCAAATTTTCTCTAAGCAAATCCACCTCATATTACTGAACATGTTCAAATTTGGTCAACTTAGAAGTGATCCCTCAAAACGCTATACCAGTAGAGGTTTCACTGAAGTGAAGATTTGCACTAGGGAAATACAGTTTTGAGGATGACAACATTAAACAAGAACTGAGTACCAACTGCATCATTTTTAAGGTTTCTTGTACCAAAACAGCTATGCGGGGGGGGGGGGGAGGGAGAGAATTAGCAACTCTGATAATGAGATCAAAAAGAATCCTTCACCGTGTACCAGATCAACAAAGGATTAGTTCTTGTCACTAAATGTCAGCAGATAACACTTGGAATAAAACACAGAAAACAGATTTGTGGACAGAATAAAGTTGACATATTTGGATGATGGATTTACTTTGAAGTTTCCAGCCATTGCAAGTCTAACTCTTTTAGACAAACCTCTTGCCCAAAATACCAGTCTTAACAATTGTGTGACATATTGACAAGATGACATGTTGTGTAACACAATCAAGGGAGACTGTCAAACAAAATGGAAGAATTTATTTATGGATGAAAGCATTATTTGGCAATCAAGTTGCAGTCTGAATGCGAAGTCACAGTTCCAGCTGATAATTGTTAGGTTGCTCATTAGAATCCTCCAATTTATTCCTGGGATTATTAATGAAAGCAAATGTTCTTTTATCTATTCCTCCTTTCCTTGTTATCCTTCTAGCATATGCTTTAATTGTACCCTGGAATACTGAGGGTGCTAGTTTATTTAAAAGAGCAATTTGGAGCTAACATAGTAACAGCATACCCACTACCTATAGCTTTATATCCAACAACATACAGATTGGAAACATGATTTTTGTTCACCATGCCTTTAAAATAATAAACTATGCTAGACATATTCATAGGTGACAATTTACCTGGCAGCCTTGGACTGCAATCCTAAACATACTTACTAGGAAAAAGAGACCATGGAAGCTGAGTGGATTTACTCCTGACTAAATAAAAAATCTTTATGACTTTCTCATGTGCCTATTGGACTTATCCTGAATGTAGACAAACTGCAAAAGGGTGGAATACTATTCACCTATAGAACTCTTTATTACAGTTCTGTAACGTCAAAAAAGCTCATTCATTTTTTTGCCAATTAATCCCTATGGTGAAGAAGTCATATTCAAGGCACAAGCACAGAATGCACATTTACAGCATTTACTTATAACAGACCGTGCTTACCCTATCTCAACCCACACCAGTACATTCTCATATGCTTGGACTACTGCAATGTGCTCTACGTGGGGCTACCCTTGAAGGTGACCCGGAAACTGCAATTAATCCAGAATGCGGCAGCTTGACTGGTCACTGGGAGTGGCCGCTGGGACCACATAACACCAGCTCCCAGTACGTTTCCGAGCACAATTCAAAGTGTTGGTGCTGACCTTTAAAGCCCTAAACGGCCTTGGTCCTGTATACCTGAAGGAGTGTCTCCACCCCCATCGTTCAGCCCAGACACTGAGATCCAGTGCCGAGGACCTTCTGGCGGTTCCCTCATTGCGAGAAGTGAGGTTACAGGGAACCAGACAGAGGGGCTTCTCAGTAGTGGCGCCCGCCCTGTGGAACGCCCTCCCTTCAGATGTGAAGGAAATAAGCAGCTATTTTATCTTTAAAAGACATCCGAAGGCAGCCCTGTTTAGGGAAATTTTTAATATTTAATGTTGTATTGTTTTTAACACTCGATTGGAAGCTGCTCAGAGTGGCTGGGGCAACTCAGCCAGATGGGCGGGGTATAAATAATAAATTATTATTATTATTATTATTATTATTATTATTATTATTATGCTGCAAGTAAAGAAATACCCCTTACCCCTTACCGAAATGCAGTAACAACAATAATATGCTGGTAAAACAAATGGACACAATTAACCATTCTTTGTCAACCTACTGAAATAAATGAAACTTCTACAAGAGTACAGAACTCCTTTGCATGTTCTGTTTATTTCACTGGTGCTGGCATAGAAGAAGTTCTGATGAATCATATCCACTCAGCATTACTGAATTAGAAGAACAAGCACCAACTAAGCACAAAGAGGTCATTTTTAAGTACCTTGGAGGAAATGCCAAGTTCCAGGAGTGTGGGAGTCCTCTGCAATGCACCTCCACTGAGCCTTAAACTAGGAAAGATGGGGCATACAACGTGAGAATTCTATCACAGTGCCTCCGACTTTTCTGAGTGTGCAATGCCAAGTGAGAATGATAATGTTACTTGGACATTCTTAGGGCCCTGGCAAATGCATGACCTTGCCACTCTGTGTAGCTGCCCCTGCCTGGAAGGCTGCCATTCAAGTGGAAGAGAATTTTATATTTCCAAATCTTTGTCCTACTGTACATTATGATGCCAAAAATCTGTCTTTAGTTATAGTATCAATGACTCACCATGTAGAGCCCATGTCAAAGATACTAAAGTTGTTTCCATATTGCTCTAATTAAACTATCATGTCTGTGCAAGAGAATGTTATCGTAGGATAATAGTATCCTGCTGCTACATAAATGCCAAAGCAAAGCTGGAGACATTTAAGGCAAACTCTTGAAGCAAAATATTTACTTTCAGAACAGGAAACATCAATTCACTCCTCTATCTTTTATTATGGAGACCAATGCCCCACTCCCAAACATACTTGCATGCACGGGAATTACATTTAAAAAGTTGGACTTGCCTGCATTTAAATATACCTTAGGACTGAGTTAATAATTCCTATTCAGTTTAATAAATACAGTAAAGTATGAGTAAGAGAATAAATATTTATCGCTTTGTGAGCTGGATATATACATGTAATATTGTAACAAATGTACACCAAACAGTTGCATCCTTACTGCCTAGCTTATGATCAGTTGAGAAAAAGCAGCATCGATTGCTGCTTGGGAGGAACTATTTTTGTTGGAAATGTTGTGCAGGAGAAAAGGGTTAAATCCCCACTTTCCATGTGCTATTGCCCCATTCTCTGTGGCTGCATTTTTAAGAATATATATATATAGGGACACGGGTGGCGCTGTGGTCTAAACCACTGAGCCTAGGGCTTGCCGATTGGAAGGCCGGCAGTTTGAATCCCCGTGACAGGGTGAGCTCCCATTACTTGGTCCCAGCTCCTGCCAACCTAGCAGTTTGAAAGCACGTCAAAGTGCAGGTAGCTATTTACCGCTCAAGCGGGAAGGTAAACGATGTTTCCATGCGCTGCTCTGGTTTCATCAGAAGCAGCTTAGTCATGCTGACCCGGAAGAACTGTCTCCGGACAAATGTGGGTTCCCTTGGCCAGTAAAGCGAGATGAGCACCGCAACCCCAGAGTCATTCGCGACTGGACTTAACTGTCAGGGGTCCTTTACTATATATATATGGTGTGTGTGGGTGTGGGTGTGTGTGTGTGTGTGTGTATACTGCCCATCATCTGGGAATCACAGGGCAGTTTAAAACATAAAAACACAAACATACATACCATAGTAACAAACTTTATATACTAAATGCAATCATTTAGTAACAAACAGCAAATATAATAAATGCATAGATATATGTAGTTTGACCCTAAGAGTATATAAACCAAACATTTTAGTGACTTAATATGCAGTCATCCTTAAAGGCCATCCTCAGAACCCCTGTTTAGGTGGGTGGTGACTGAAGAGATGGCCAGCTTGATTGCTCTCCCCAGAGAGGCTTGTCGGATGGCAATTTTGACATCATTTTAGTGCCAATCCTTTTTTTTTTTTTTTCCTGACATTTTTGTCATTTGCTGTAAGCTGGCTGTAGTTTATTTATCTGTTCTGCTGAATTTAAACATTGCTTTTAGCTGTTGCTCTCTGTCATTTTATCTCTTTGATTGCTGTTAGTTTTATATTTATTGTTATTATGGTGGGCTTTTTTGCTCCTATTAACTTTGCTTTAAGATACCATGGAAGCTTTAGTGAGCAGCAGCATAAATTTATAATAAAAGTAATTATATTTTATGCGTCTAACGCACTGAGGTTGAATCCCCACAAGACAGAAGTACTGTTTCTGGGGGACAGGGGCTGGGCAGGTATGGGAGATTTCCCTGGTCTTGAACGGGGCAATTGTGCCCCTGAAGGACCAGGTGCACATGGTCATGAGTATTTTATAGAGTAACTGCAATATAAATTATATACAGTTTTCCCTTTAGTTTACCGTGACCCAAAGTCAACTTCTTGTTGAGTCAAAGGTGCACAACACGTTCTGACTTGAGCATATGAGTGGGTATTATAGGGAAAGGTTAGGATGGCCCTGCAAGAGGACTGGAGAGAGGACAGAGAGAAATGTCAACTTAAACCAACCCCCTGCAATGCAGAAATCCTGCCCACAGCTGCCCCTGGATGGCCTTGAACCATGAACCTTCTAACAGCCAACCACATACAGCCAGACACACTGACCTATTGGGCAACAGGCTCCATGTTTGGACCCATGCCCATCCCACCTGCTATTCATTTTCATTGCATCCTGTTTTCGCCATGTTGACCGCGACATTCACTGTCAGCATCAAACCCAATCCACTTGTTGGTCCTAGCCGGGTGCAAACTACATTTACTTGCAAATGATATGAAGTTCTGTTCTGTTTTAAAGAAAAGCAATCTCAGGAGGCTGTGATTTTTGAGTGGAGGAGAAACACCCTTCATTCTTTGCTTTCAGTCTTCTTGAACTATTTTCAGTAGCAGCTCCTGGAAAAATGATGACCTGGATGCACCCTAAAACTAGAATATATAGTAAACAGTAAAAGCTATACATCTCAGACATGAAGGCAAACCCTTAATAAGGAGGAAAGCTTTTTAAAAAAATTCTTTCTCGTGTTTCCACATTAATCATTTTACCTTCATGCTACTCATCATATCTTCTGTCAAGAAATGAACTTTCTACCGAAACATCTCCATTCTTGCGGACCAGAGATATTAACTATTAATATGGTGAAACATGAAATACCAGTTTGTAGAGAGAAAGCTGAGCATTTTATTCTTTCATGGTTTAATTTAGTCATCAAAGGTTACTCACTCTCATGTTTATAAATTATATAGAGCAGAACTTAACTCCCCCAGATTAACCTGTTTGGAAATAATAGATTATGAGAAGGGAGGTTCATAACCTTTAAATATCCAACCAGCCTCATTTATGAGGCCACCCCCCATTCTTTCCAGAATCTACAGCTCAGAAAAGAAAATATTTTTTTAGATGAAAGATGAAAAGCAAAAGAAGTTGGTACATTGACATTTCAGTTGGAAGCTACATGTATATACATCTAGTAATCACATACTTCTTTTACGGGGTAGCCATATTCTGTAGGGATGCGGGTGGTGCTGTATTCTGTATTCTTTGGATACTACCTTTTTCTTCACAAAATGGGGTAGAAGTGTATTTTTCAACTCAAACAGATCCTTCACGTGTATGGTGAAGAGTCACAATAATCACAAAGTTGATGTCATCCAGCAATAAAGGATGTAAGTTATGGAGCACATATACTCAGACATAGGTGAGACAAAATCAAAGAAATATTATTTCTGTATATAGGTGGGTGAAAAGGCAGCAAAATTCTACAGAAATAGGAAACTTCATTTCCATAAACAGAGTATAAAAGGGAAGCAATGGTTGAGAATCTCTCAGCCACCTTGTATTACTTTTATAATGTCAAGTATTTAGAGAGTACCCACAATCCAGTTCCTCAGTGTAGTGAGTAATTCAAAATTATAACATTTCCAGGCACTCCAACATTTAACTAACAAAAAGAGCAGTTGCAATTTGGAGCAGCAAAAATATTAATATGGTTGTGTGAGGGAACCATTACTTCCTTCATCATGATGCAGGTTATTGTACATAATTTTGAGGAACCTGTAACATCCATTCCAACATTCTATAAAATTTACAATATCCAAAGATGTCTTACAAGTATTAATAAGGCCTAATGGTATAAACTTCAATGGAATTTACAGAGCACTGGCTGCTATACCAGTCTATTTGGAAAAAAGTCAGTTGTATGTATGTATAGAATTGCAACTTAGTTCCTTCTACATAAAAATTCTTAGATCATGCAAGAAGGCTACATAAACAAATATTATAATAATTCCTGTGACGTAAAGTGAAGCTAGTTATAAAGTAGTTAAATATTCTGGACAGTGTCACTCTTACAGTTCAGATCCTACTCAGTAATTATAGAATATAAAAATCATGTCAATCCAAGCTCTTAAGGACAGAAAAAGCACCACATTCCAGCACTACATATTACTGGAAGAACACATCAGTTTAGGAAGCAAAGAAGAATATTATTATTATTTTGTTTATTTATTGAATTTATATGCTGCCTTTCATCCAGAGATCACAGGGTGGTTTACAAGATAAAAACACAAAACATACTAATTAAAAAAAACTACAACCCCCTCTCCTCATGGAACAACTAAGTGGTTGTCTGCTGGAGACAAAACAAAATGTTCCTTATCCCTTTCAACAACTAAAGCAGGGGCAGGGCAATTAGTTGCAATTAAGTGACACATCCTAGCTTGTGACACAGATGAATGATCTGAAGCTGTTGTAACTTCACATGTGGGGGGGAATCTTCTTCTTTCATCCCTCCTAACAGTGTTTGCTTTACTTCCCCTTCACTTTCAACCTTCTTTTACTTTTCTGCTCTGCTTTCCATCTTTTTCTCATGTCACCACTAGCAAAAATCTATACTGATACTGATCCTTACACAGGGAATTATAGCTCTACTACACTATGTTGCCATAGTTAAATGTGCAAACATTAGGCAGACTCTTACCAATTTGTAGCTGGTGGTCAATGATTGAAAAATTCAAGATCCAGGATATCTTATGTCCAAGATACAGCAATAACAGGGTTTCCAGAAGCCATCTAAAATTTTCTGAGCTGTGAAAAATTGTTTTGGAACTGCTATACTACTTGAAAAGCTAACTGAGCATAAGCTTTCATCAAGAACAGTTAGTCTGAAACAGTAATGGTGGACAAAGACTACTTAGCAGAACCACAATTTTTCCCTTTTAAAAGTCCAGGGACCAGAAGTTCATTAAGTGTGTTGGGAATTGCAGTTCTGTGGGGATTCTTTGGGAAAGTGAAGTGTTTTAAATGTATGGTGTGCATGCCACCAAATATGGCTTCTAAACCTAGTAGCACTTTATTCAAGGCAAATTTTGGGGTCCCACACAATCTAGCATATTAAGATTAACGTAATCTGAATCCTATTACTTGTGGTAATTACTGTTTGACCAAATCATGTGGGTATTGCTCAAACAGAAGTTGGAAATGCATACAGAAGAGCAGTGAGGCGAGACCTGTTATACTTTAAGTATAGGCAGGTCCAAGCAATACAAATGAAAAATGAAAAATCCTGCATTAACTGGGGCAGAATTGAACGGATTGGTTGGGCCTGAACACGGAAAGCCTGACTACAAATCCCTGCTTGGCTATGAACTGCCCTGGGCAGATGTTTCAACTGAATCTCCCCTTGCCATTGTTGTCAGGGCAAAATAGGATAGTTAGGAGTTTTGGGGGGGGAGAAGTGTAGGGAGGGGTTGCAATTCCAAAAGCAGAGCAAGCAATACGTGACTCTCTCCCCCTCAGTGTAATGGCTGCCGGGCTAATGTGACATTTGTTTGGTTCTTGTTCCTCTACACCAGGATGCAAAGGTGATGGATGAATGACAAGGCATCCTAGTGAGTAGCCTGGCAATGGTGGAGACGAAGGGCAGGTGCCAAAGCTTAAGCCTGCCTGCAAGCCCTGTCATTTGGGCTGGAAGCATTTCCCTCTAATTCAAAATGAGCGGCGTGCAGCTCTGGCTGAGAGCATTACTCAGGGCCAAGCTAGACCTGAAACTGATTGTGGGACTAACAATTAAAAGTGTGTGTTTTATTTCTGTCCTGGAAATGGTAACCTGGGGATGGAGAGATGGGGGTGGGGGCAGGTGTTCTAAAATAAATGAACAAAATCCTTCTCTAAAGGTGCTATATGCATGTCAGATGACGACTCCAGACCTTCCAAGTGTCCCTTTTTTCCAGTGACAGTCCGGGATTTACAGAAGCCGTCCCAGTTTCTGATTTTATCCTGGAATGTCCCGCTTTTCCTTAGGATGTCCCTATTTTCAGAGTTATGTGACCCTGATAAGTAACTATACAACCTTTAGAAGACTTCTGAAGGCAGCCCTGTATAGGGAAGTTTTTTAATTTTCAATGTTTTTTTGTTTTTATATATGTTGGAAGCCACCCAGAATGGCTGGGGCAACCCAGTCAGATGGGTGAGGTGCAACTGTTGTTGTTGTTGTTCTTGTTTTCATTATTTTTTTTAATGTTCAGTGTTTTATTATGTTTATATATGCACTGTACAGATGGCTGCAGTATAAATAATAAAAGTATTCTTCTTATTATTATTAAATAGGATGTCCCTATTTTCATTAGAGAAATGTTGGAGAATATAGTGCTATGCAACCGCTGAGCCAAGGACATAAGCATATATGTATGTACAGCGAAGGAGATAAGTATATGGATACTATAGGGAAGTTTCTTTTAAAAATGTTTAATGTTTTATTATGTTTTCATACATGTTGGCAGACTGGCTGGGGCAACCCAGTAAGCTGGGCAGAGTATAAATAACAACGTTACTGTTTTGATTTTCATAATTGAATAGAACGTCCCTATTTTCATCGGAGAAATATAATTTATTTATTGGGGGGGGATCACTTCTATAGCTAAACTCGACGACTGAGGTAAACGCATTTAAGTCACTGCCGTCTATGGCCGGCCTCCCCCCCCCCCCCCCCGCGTAAGAGAACGGCGCCAGAGCTGACCCAGGAGAGGCACAAAAACTGAAGCTATGAGCCGCCCTTCCTTCCCTCTCCCTATATGTATCTTTATATTTGTGTGTGTGTGTTTTATATACTATTCTCCCTTCACGCATAGCGCCCCCCCCCCCCGTGAAGCCCTCAGGTGCGCGAGACGCCTGGGCGCTGCCCGCTGGCGCGCAACGGCTGAAACGATGCGCGCGCGGCTTTTCTCTGTATGTGTGCTTGCGTGTGGCGGGAGGGGGGGAGGGGGCAGCGCCTCTATGAGGCGAGGGCGACGAGCAGAAACACAACGGGCGGCTCTCGGCTGCCTCGCGGGCTCCTCCTCGCTGGCGTCAGCGCCGGGCGCGAGCTGCCAACCAGCTGCTCTGCTGACGTCACGGCCCATCCCTTTGCTCTCTCTCTCTCTCGCTCTCTCCCTCCCGCCGCCCCCACGTGCTGGACGGGAGAGTAAAGTTTGTTGTTTTCTCCCGTCGCCCGTAGCGACGCGATGCCCCAGCCCCGCCTCTCGGGGGTGGCTGTGGTGGTGGGCGTGGCTCCCGCGGAGGTGGGCGGGGCGGGCGGGAGAGTTTATAAGTCAGCCTGAGGCGGGCGCGCGGCTTGACAGTTCGCAAAGGCCGCGGTCGGCGAAAGGAGCGGCGGCGGCGGCGGGAGGAGCGGAGAAACCTGAGCGCGTGACGGGGAAAGAGAGAGAGGGAGACCGAGGCAGCGCGCCGGCCCCGCCCGTCAGTTAGCGCAGCCAGCCAGGGACGTGCGGCGGTGGCTGCGGGAGACTCCCGGACTCCCCTCATGGCAGCGGCGCGAGCAGGGAATCCCCGGGAACCGTCTCGCGCCTTCTTCCAGCCGCTGCTCGCGCTGCAATCTGCTGGAGCAGCTCCGTGGCGGGGCTGCTCCTCATCGTAGGAGAAGCCACCAGCAAAAGCTCGTCCTTCGGCTTTTTAATTTTTTTAATATCTATTTTTCTAAAGTTTCTGGTTTGCTTTTTTTGCAACCCAAAGGACAAAAGTTAACAACATCCCGTTGCAGTATATATAAATACATATATCTATATATATATCACACTAATAATTCTATACTTCTGACCTCCGACCAAGCACCGGCCCTTGGCACGTTAATGAGGTGGGTGATGTTTCCCCTTTTTCCATTTTTTCTACCCCCCTTCTTCCCTTTGAGGATGCTGGGATCTGAACTTTGAGCATGCCAGAACCGAATTTGGATATTTTTTTCTTTGATTGCGTTCTGTCTGTGGATGAACCCAGGGCTTCGCCGGTTTATTTCACCCTTCTCCCTTCTGACGTTTCCGCAGGCAGCCGCCCCACGGCGAGTTTGACATGGCTCTCAGCGGCACCCTCCTCCCTTCCATCGCCACCTTCGCAGCGGGCACGGCCGGCAGGGAGAAAGCCTTGAGGCAAGCAGGTGCCAGTAACGTGAGTACACAACCAGGCAGGGCAGTTGTGTTTGAATGCTGACGGGAGGGGGGGGTTACTCAGGGATCAAACTAGTGCTAGAGGAGCTCAGCTCCCCCAGAACCTGCGTTTTTGCTTTTAATGGGACATGAGAATGACCTTCGGCACAGGTGTGGAGTGCATTTCTTCCACCAAAGAAACACCGAATCAAAGAATCCCTCAAGCTCCTGTACTGGTGGAATGGGATTCCACATTAGGGTGGTGCTTCTTGATGGGCTTGAGCCCCACTATCTTTTTTTTTTTTTTTAAGCTAAAGCATTTGGGGCTGGGGTGGGATGTTAGAAGATGGAGGAGATTCCTATAATAGGATGGAATGTGGAAGTTGATCAGGTCTCAACAGAGTTTGAATGAGACATCTTTAAAAAAACAAAATGTTCGAAAAGGGAGCGTACAATTGTGAAAGCACACACATGGGGGGTGTTGCAATGTAAATGTATATTCTAACAGCAGCTGTGGGGATATGATCCCCACCTTTTTTTAAAAAAAAGCAGCACTTTCATCTGACTACAGTACTCTTTTGCTCTGTTGTTCCCTAGACCCTCAGAATGTGTGTAGGCACAATTTAGGAAAATGCTCTTACCTTCGGCAGGGGCGTAGCTGCTCCCTGAAGTTCATTCTGTAATGTGGGATGGTAGGGGGAAAGAGAAACTGGGATAGATAGATCTGCTTTACCAGATCTGTGCTGCAGTAAATAAGCTGAAATATGCAGTGTATCGCAACCCAGAATCATGGGTGTGGATACATATGTTTTAATACATGGGCAGCCTTGGGAAATATGCACACCTACTCATGTGCTTAGGTTAACTTTTTGTTTGCTTGTCTCAAGCTGATGGCTTGTACCTACAGCTGCTGTTGTATAATGCATGCTGCTTTAGAAAACGCCTACATGTGTTTAATATCAAATGCAGGCAATCTGATTAACACTGTGCGTGCAGTTTTTGTTGATTTGTATTAATTTTTGTGCTCCTTTACAACAGCAGAAAGCCACATGATACCTTCTCTTTTTTAAGTCATGTAAACTCATTGTTTCTCAGTAGTGTCTAAAACATTGCTTTACTAATAAGTAGGTAAATGTAACTTGATTATAAGGGCATATATGTGACTATACATAAACTTAGGTATAGTCACATAAACACACATAAATTTGCTAACTGGTGCCTTTAATTTTATCACCACGTCTTGTAACTTTTTGCAGGCAAGTTTTTGAACAGACAGTTGGAAAGTTAAAGACTTAAAAAATTATTCCATCTAAACCTTGCAACTTCAGTCTTTACAGTAAAAGTCCTGACAATCCTTTGAACCCGTAAATTAATATTACAGTGCCACCCCCCAAAAAAACCCCACACACCATGTAGCACAGAATGGAGAGGGGAAATGAAAGTTCTCTGCAACATGTCGTGACTTGACAATTGCCTAGTTTGCCTTGAAAGCACATATATCAGAAGTCAAGAGACTCCCAATTTATTTCCCCCCTCCCGCAGTGTGTGTTATTTAAGTATTTTCAACACATGATAAAATAGGGGCTTGACTATTTCCAGGGTTTCGTTTCACAGTCCTGCAATTCTGCAGCTGATTGCATTGGGCCATGCGACTACTGCTTTGAACAGACTGACAGGTTCACTTCAATCAGCAGAGGACTGTCCCTTGTTGTGTTGTGGCAACTCAGTTGTGTCCCAAAGAGTTGTCTGTGAAAGACTTCTCCCCCTGTTTTGGTGGTCGCCATGTTTTGCTCATGCCTAGGTTTTCCTATACCTTTCCTGCTTTGCGAAACTCAAAAGTTCGGTGTGCTTTCACCAGCACTGTTTTCTCCTTCTTTACCAACACCGGTTTTTTTTCTTCTTTTTCTGCCCACAGAAGTGGCGGGAGGAGCTCTCTCACCTCAAGCGGATTCCCTCTGTGTTCACAGGACGGCCTTACGACCTCTCTTCTGAGCTGGAAAGCAGCACCACAAACAGCAGCAGTGGGGCTATGTCAAGGCGGGAGACGGAGGAGTTGAATGAGCTTCTGGACTTTGACTTCATCCTCTCCAACTCCCTGATGCCCCAGGAACAACCCACGGCTGCTGCCGCAGCAGTAGTAAGCACCACTCCTGGCCCCTCGCCCGCCGTCACGAGCAGCAACTGCCCAACAGTTACCACTTGCGACTTCACCTACCAACTGCAAAGGGGCGATCACACCGGAGGAGGAGGAGGAGCTATGCTGTACAACAGGGAGCAGGCCCCGGCTGCCCCGTTCAACCTGGCTGATATCAACGATGTCTCCCCTTCCGGTGGATTTGTAGCTGAGCTGATGAGGCCAGATCTGGACCCAGTTTATATGCAGCAACAGCAGCAACAACAACAGCAGCAGCAGCCATCCCCACTGGGCAGCCTGCATGGCAAATTTGTGGTGAAAGCCACCGTGAACATGGGGGAATACAACAACCACATCAGTGTTAGCAGCAAGAACAACCCAGCTGCTGCAACCTCCCCTTGTTCAGATGGACCTGTGCAGCCTCCTATTTATAACCATGTGCCCAGAATGTGCCAAAAAATCAAGCAGGAGGCTGCCCCTTCTTGCACCATTGGCCAATCCCATGGGAATACTCAGAGGGCGCAGCAACACGATTTTCCCTTGGGGCGCCCACTGCCTAGCAGGACTAACCCTCCCTTGACTCCAGAGGAGCTGATGAACAGCAGAGACTGCCACCCCTCCCCGCAGGGCTTAAGTCACCCAGCTCTGCCGCTTCCTCCAGGCTACCACCCTGGCCCGGGATACCCTCCTTTTCTCCCAGAGCAGCTGCCACCAAGCGCGCTCCAGTATCAAGGTCAGTCTCACTATCTAAATGTTTTTGGAGAGCCTGTAAATATGCCTCGCTTGGTACAAGGGATGATGCTGACTCCGCCCTCTTCACCTCTAGAGCTGATGCCTTCTGGGAGCTGCCTCGCCGAAGAGACCAAGCCGAAGAGGGGGCGGCGGTCATGGCCCAGGAAAAGGACCGCCACACACACATGCGACTATGCGGGTTGCGGCAAAACGTACACAAAGAGCTCACACCTCAAAGCACACCTTCGGACCCATACAGGTAAGCCCTGCTCAACTGTGCTGCCAAGGTCCCAGGCATCCCTTATCTCATGCCCTTATCTCAAAAGCAAATCTCTATAGCCCAACATCAGCAGTGTAAAGGGTTTTGTTTTGTTTTTGCACACCCCACCCCACCCAACCTAGTAGGGTTGTTGTATGTGGCTGGAAAGAGGTTTTTCCAGAGAGCTGGCATTTGTATGAAAAGGGCATGTTTGCCTGTGGTGCCATATGCATTTGCCCCGCTGTAACTCTGTGCACCGGTTTTGCAAGTCTTCCAAAAGCTTGTGAAACTTGTTTGGTGATATGATGTTGGGACACACAAAAAAGGAGTCTGCATATTCTATATGCAGCGATGCCTCGTTCATTCCTCTTTTTAACTGCCTTGCTGTGCAATCCCATCCATGTTCGCTCAGAAGTATCCCACTGTGCCTTGTAAGTGAGCTGCTGTGCTAATTGCGCCCTTAAACTCCTGCATCTCCATCAGTCTGAGAGAATCATCATTCTCATGTACCCATGTATACATCTTTTCTCACACTCTAGTTAAATAGGTTTTGGTGGTTTTGGAAATATTAAAACCTGCCAGCCTGTCTAACAGAGGCAAAGGCAGGATGAGGATCCACACCCTGAGCAACAACACCCCCCTCAACCATATTCTTTTTTTTTTCTTTTTTGGTGGGGTACCTTTGTGGTATCCATTTTAAATAGTTTCATTCCACCAGTGTATTAAAATATGCATATCTGTGGCTGCAACCAAGATAAGAATTTAAATAGCGGGAGCCATTAAATATATGGCTTTGCTTACAGATCGGAGGAGTTCGTTAAAATGTCTCTGAATGTTTCAGCCACAGCAAAGGAATTGTTTTGCAGACGTGCAAGATTTTCTTGCCTGACTCTGGCCATGTGGCTAGCAAATTACAAGGTAGCTAGAAGTCCAGAGTGAATTAAGCATGTTTATGCTGATAACGCCACTGAGGTGTTTCTTTTGGGGTAATGGAAATTGCAAATAGCCATAATTCATTTATTTTGTTGGACTTGTTGCTTCTGGTTAAAGAGCTTAGTCTCATTTCGATTTTCTCTAAATCAACTAATGTTAGCTGATTGGCTATGATCTTGGAGACCAACTTCTAATTTGAGACTGTTTTGACTTCAGGGGAAGCAGGGCAGCCCTCCCACAAACTGTTATATTTAATTTCTCCTCAAGTCTGTTGTATAAAACGGCTGCCAGTTAGCAACAGACTTGGTTAATTAGCTTCGGAAAACATCCAGTTCTGGATTTTCCAGCCAGCCATATAAAGTGATAAAAATAACCAACAGACTTAGTTCTTGCTGCTGAAGTTTATACGTTCATCTTACTATGAAATAATTTTTTACTCACAATAATTTACCTTGCTGCTTAACACGTTCACTTGGAAATTAAGTCCCCCAGTGGGACTCAATTAAGTCCCCCAATGGGACTTAATTGTGAGTAAATATTCTTTGAATGGCAGTATTTGTTTTTCAATTAAATTTGCCAGAACTTGAACATCTTTTCTAATTAATAATAATTAGACTCTCTTAAGAAAAAAAATGGGTGTTATGAGTAAAAGTATAGCAGGTAACCTGTTAGTTCATTGAAGACAGGCTTAGCTCTGAATAAGCAAGTTTAGGAGGGCCTTGTTACATGTTAATAGTGCTAAAAGCCTAGTTTTTAACATGTATACCTGGAAACAGATTCACTGATTTAAGTGGCGCTTTCACTTGTGTACAAGTATTCTTATTATTATTAGCATCATCAACAACAATTATTAGTTGTACTACTCATAAAATTGACTCAAACTGACTTACAAGCATGATTTAAAATACTAAAGCTAGGGCATAAAGAATAAAGTTAGGGCACTGTCAGCATGGTTAAAATACATTGAACAACACTGTTTCAGTATCTCCAAACTGCTTGAGAACATTGACTTTCAGAGAAACTTCTGATTAATGTCAATTTCCGCATAAGTTCTTGGTTTGATTATATATATAAAAAGGAGGGTGTTTGTTAAGTTTGACAGTGAAGGACTGCAAATAGCTTTCCGTCGTTTTCTTTAGTTCCCTGAAAAGTGTGGTTGTAACAACAGTTTGATTGCTAAGCTTACCTGAATGGGTGCAGGTTTCCTTTGTAGTCTGAATACTTACATGCAACATTAATTTTGGAAGCAGTCAAGGCAGAGATCGAGAAACAAAGTATTGTGATTTAACATACTGCCAAGCAATCATTGAAAAAAATGTCCCTTAGATGTTTATGCTTCTAGATATGTCCTCATTTTATGTAGGCTGGTGACAGATGTTAGTGTGCGAGAATTGGTGGTACAAGTGAGGCATTGTTACCTGTAGTGAACACCAGCTTTGCAAACTAGTTTAATAATACTAGTCCACAGATAATTTTGCTTGCCTAGTCATTTGTGATCAAAAGAAAAACAACAACAAAGTTTTGCAAAGTTTTCCAGCTTCGTTACCCAGAGGCAATTCTTATTAGCCACAGGTGGCTAGGTATGTGGGTACATTATTTGCAAGCCTGTTTGTTTTATGCCACCGTTCATGGTCAAACGGGTTCTACAGGTTTTTAGAAAACCTGCAGAACTGTTGAAGAGGAATGATTGAGGGATAGGTGTACGCACACCACAGAAAATGCTTCTTATACCACCTTCAGCATTTTGAGGGAAGAAAACAATTGTCTCGCCAGCTGAATAAATATGCATGAGATTTTTTCCTTTTCTAATTTATTCAGCTATAGCGGCTAATGTGAAGCTATAATGACAATAGTCTGATCCTAGGGAAAACTGTAACTGTGATTGCTGGAACAAACTTATATTTATTGAATCGTATGATGCACCTATATCTGTGAAGGATACAGAAGTAATTGATATGGTTCTTTATTTCTGAAGGTGAGAAGCCCTATCACTGTGACTGGGAAGGTTGTGGCTGGAAATTTGCCCGCTCTGATGAACTCACGCGTCACTACAGAAAACACACGGGGCACCGCCCATTCCAGTGCCAGAGGTGTGACAGAGCGTTTTCCAGGTCTGACCACCTTGCCTTGCATATGAAAAGACACTTTTAAACAGGACGTGGTGAACTTTTTCCTTTACTGCCATGAGAGATTCAGTATTCGACAGCACAAAAGACTGTCTTCCGCCAGAGGGGAGAACTCCACTTTAAAGCACTACAAAGAACCCCAGTGAGGTCTTTCCAAAAAGAAAGCGTGGAAATGAACGGACAGTAAAGAAAAGACGAGACAATTGTGGAACTTTTATAGGGGGACAATGACTGGATCTTGTATCATTCCATTTTTTTTTATTGAAAAATCTGACTTGAATCTTTCTGGACTACAGATTGCCAAGGATTGACTGGAAGTCAAGGATATCAGGGTTAAAACGAAACTGTTGAGGGTGGGGAGAATGGGAGATTACGTAGGGAGATGATGGGTGAAGACAGGTGTAACGTTGTAGAGCGGTGGGGGCTGTTCAGCTTTGGCAGTTCCTTCATCTCATTCAATCTAAATGACTCCCCCCCCCCCACTTTGCCAAGGTTGAAGTCCAAAAAACATGTTTGTGCAAGGTTGCCACAAAAGCTAATGCTGTTCTGCTATTGTGCTTGTGACTTCAGAGACCTCTCTTTTTTTTTTCTTTGCCCACCACCCAAATTCCTCAAGCAATTTTGCAACAGTTCTAAAACTTTCATTTTTTTTTAAAGAGAAGAGAGAATGTGTGAAGGTAGAACTTGCACTTACATTTATTTTATTTTTAAAGCAAGGAATGTGGGGAGAAAGGGTCAAAACTGACACCAAACCTCACCATTTAGCTTCACAGAGGATGAATGTTGTGCAAAGTAGGGGGGAGAGGAGTGGGGGGGGGGAGGTTGGCTCACACCATGGCTGAAGAATCCACTGTGACTTCTCTTTAAATGCTATGTCTGTCTTCGCCCTAAATTCCCTTAAGATTTATTTTCAATGCAATATTGTAAACATGTTGTAGTCTTGCAATTTCTTCTTCCTTAAAAAAAAAAAAAAGCCATTACTAAACTATGTCAAATGAGGAAGAAGAAATTCAGGTACAGAGTTATGGTTAAAAGTCTATTTTCATGGTGCTGAATGACTTTTGGTTCTTAAGGTACCAAAAATGCCAAAGTTCTCAACTGCTGCATATTTGACAAGGAAATACGTTTGTCTTCCGATCTACAGTTAATGATGACCTAAGTCAGGTTGATAAACCTGGCTTATTTGTGTTTGTCTCTCTTTTAATCTTCTATGCAGACAGTCTGTAATGCACTGTGGTTTCAATGTGCAATAATTTGTACAATGGTTTATTCCCAAATATGCCTTAAGCAGAACAAATATTTTTTTTTCTATATGGTTCTTTACATAATAAATATGTAATATAAATTTAAGGAGACTTCTATTTTGTATATTTGTAAACTATGAAGTGAAAAATGAACATTTTGTCAGAGTTCGTATTTTGCATATTCATTTTTGCTGAAAATAACTTTTAAATAAACCTATTTTATCTGAGTGCCTTTTTCTTCTTTCTGAATCATGTTGCATTTAAAGAGCTGCATTTAATCAGTGTTTTAAAGAACAGTAGTGCTTACTATCTTGCTCTATGCATGTTTATTCTTATACAACCCCTGTTGAGTTCAATGAAGCTTACTCCTAAAGGAAATTACTCTAGGTCGAAATTCATTGGATAATTATTATGGATAATACTGGCTCCATTTTTTCCCATATTGTTTCCTTAAAAAAACCCTGACCATTAGTTTAACCCTGGAGAGCCAGAGATGCGTAACTGGGTATCTTTAATACTGATAATCCAACCAAACCAAATAATTAAAGCAGAGGCAGAAAATGAGATCAAGAGGCCAAAGTTGGCCAAGGTAACAATATTGCTTAGCACTTTGAGTAAAGTGTTTGATTTGTGTACGCCATTCCTCAACGATAACCCTGTAAAGCATCTTGCTGATTGGGAGCTGAAGAAAATGTCTTGCTTGAGGCTACCACCTATAATATGTGTTAGGGGAAAGATCTGAAGCAGGTATTTTCCTGCCTTCATTACTTGATCTCTTAGTCCCTATGTTGTACTACATCCTAAGCAAGATCTTGACAAATTTAAGACTTGTTTTCAGGATTCTAAGTGGGATCAGGCCCACACTGTTGCCATTAAAAAGCCCTTTCTAACCTTTAAATCTGCTATAGGCTGTTGCCTTTCTACCTTACAAGTATATACAAGCGGCGATTCATTTCACTGCGAATTTCAGATCATATTTCCTAGTTGCTGATAAAGCAAGAATAAGTAGAAACTTAATATCAAGCATACCTCAGGAATGCCGTATTCACTGTTTGACATTTACATTTTATTTGAATATTATTCACTTGGCCGAATTTCACGGCACCTCCCTCCCCATAAGTAAATTTGGATTTGAAAATACTTGTTGTGTTCCCTTGTGCAGTGTCTTTTGCCTTGAATACATCTTTACATCAGAGGTTGGAGAAAAACTTTGGATATATATTTTTTTTCTTAGAAATTGTTAGTCATCACAGTAAACGGGTAAGTGCATTAAAGTGAGCTTATTCAGGAAAACTCATTCCCCCCCCCTAAGATTCATTTGAGTACTTGCTTCTCTGCCCTGCTCAGAAACTCGGGTTATCTCGTTTTATCCTTGTCTCATTAACTTGTGAAATAGGTTAGTATGAGAGAATGGTAGGCATAATATTTGTGGCTAAAGAAGGTGATTTGAAGCAGAGAGATTATTTGCAGAACAGTATGTCAGTTTGTAAGTATCTTAATATGTTTCATCCCAACCTATGTAGCTGACTAGACTAAGGTGCATATTGGCTGGTGCCCATGGTGCAATCCTATGCATGTTTCCTTAGAAATGTGGCTTCCATCCTTATAAATGTGTTTGGAATTGGTGCCAGAGGTAGCAGCCCATCTGAAGCATGGTAACAGAAGGGGAAAGGGATTCCTCAACCTGTGTTACACCGCTATTGTCTATCAATAGGGACGCAGGTGGTGCTGTGGTCTAAACCACTGAGCCTCTTGGGCTTGCCGATCAGAAGGTCAGTGGTTCGAATCCCCATGACTAGGTGAGCTCCCGTTGCTTGGTCCCAGCCCCTGCCAACCTAGCAGTTCGAAAGCACGTCAAAGTACAAGTAGATAAATAGGTACCGCTCCGACGGGAAGGTAAACGGCGTTTCCATGCGCTCTGGGACTCGTCACGGTCCTCCGTTGTGCCAGAAGCAGTTTAGTCATGCTGGCCACATGATCCGGAAAGCTGTCTGCGGACAAACGCAGCTCCCTAGGCCTGAAAGGGAGATGAGCGCCGCAACCACATAGTCGCCTTTGACTGGACTTAACTGTCCAGGGGTCCTTTATTTTTGTCTATCAGTCTGAAGGATTTGGGGTTCATACTGCAGTCAAAGGGTCCCAGTGGGCATGATTTGTAAGTCTTTGCACCTTTTCTTCTTCCGATCCAATAAACACGCTCCTGTACCCTGTTGGCTCTTGCAGTTATTGGTTGCTTTGTGGGAAACCACTCAACTATTTACCTTAGCCCAAACTAAGGAGGACTCTCAGAGCTGCTTTCTCTTCCTGATAATTTGGACTCTGCCTTCTCCAGTTCAAAACTTTTTATACCTTCAGTTCCTCACCCGTTTCTGAACTTCTAGGGTTTCTATCTTCCCAAGAGTGAAAATTTGGACAGAGTTGTTGAGCTCCCCCCACAGTTGTTGTTGTTGTTGTTGTTGAGGGTTGTTGCGCTCCCAAAAAGATTTGGGGCATTTTTTTATTTTAAAAAATAGCTCAACTTGCCATACATCTGGGTTTTCGCAGGCATTTTGCTGATTTAGCAAAAATCTGCCTGGATGCCATTTTTCTGAGCAATTACCAGATGTGTCCAGAAAAAAACCTGGATGTACGGCAGCCCTATCCATGGCCTTTTATCCTCGCAAAGGTTCTGTGGAATAGGTTGAACACAGAGAAAGAGTTACCCAAACACATTTAAATGAGCAGGGTTTTGAAGTCTGAACCCACTTTCTCCCTTGGTCAAGTTCGTGACAGGAAACGGAGCTTATGGTAGGTACCTTGCTGTCTCTCTGAAAACTTCAAGCTGGGAGCTATCAAATCTGCAGACCCACTTCATTTACTGAAAGATAAACATGTCAGCATAGAATGCAGCAAGACATTTAAATAATTTCATGAAGCAAAGTAAGATGGAGGTCTCTTCAAATCCAGTTGGGTAGAGAAACTAGTTCGAATGCACTGTTAGGGAACAAGATACTTATCTCTGTGGCTGCTGTGAAGTGCAAGAGGATTCTTGCTCATACATTGAAGTGGATTGTTTTCTTAGTCTTTTTTAAAATAAATAAATAAATCTGAAGACAGATGTTTGTTAATGCAAACGATATGTGCATAATTTTCTGGCTGTTGTATTCTGCCGTAGCTTTGTATTTGACGAAAAGTATTTTTATTGCATTTCCCCCAATCTTAAAACAACGCTTCGCTATGTTTTTGTTCCTCCCCCTCATGCCAAAAGCTACTTCCCACTTAAAGAGTGTGACTTTGTTAAAAATGAAACGCAAATCCAAGAAGTTCAATATTTTAATTATTTCATTGTGCCTTTAAACTTCGTTTTGTTGGGGGGGGGGTTAGGAAAAAAAGCTGCTGCACATTGTTTTGGGCGAATGCCAGCTAACACTCCTTAATGCGTGTAAGACAACCCTTCGTAGGGAGATCTTGTTTTTTAGGAGGTCTTCAGGCACGGGAGAAGAATATCCACACAAGCAGTTGTAATTTGAAAAGGCAGGTGTAGCTAAAAATAACATACTGTGTTAGCCACCTGTTCTATTATGTGCTGTGGCTCCTGGAGCTAAAAACATCATCAATAGAACTGGGAGAACAAAAGAGCTGCAGCAAATGCACCGTTTCAGAGCATGCTTTGGGAAAGGGGGTTTTTCTGCACACAAATTTATAAAGCTGATTTAGAGCCCAGATGCAATAGGGGGCTCCTTTAGTTAAGCAAGATCCTTAACTAAGGGCTGGTTCTCGCGTGACTCCAACTGGAAGTATGAACAGACTTGATTTAAAAGCAACACACATTGTGTTGGGCGAGATGAACATTCTGCCTGCGGTGTTGGCTTGTCACTTGCAGTTCCACTATATTACAACCACAAGAACGGAAAGGCAAAGCAGTTCCTGGCCCCTGTTAAGTAAGAAAAAAGGCCCTGTCTTCTCTCTCTTCCCCCTCATGCATCCCACAGCTGCAGCCTGTGAGCATTGCAAGTATGGCTCTCATGTAAATGCTGTACTAGATTCCTCAAAGAGTCTATGTAGACAGGTATCGCAAGCGGTTTGATTGACCAATAAGCCAGAGCGACATATAGCAGGGAGATGAGCCATGTGCCACCCATATAGTACTCCGGTGGCGCAATGGGCCGGTGCATCTGGTTCTTTGCGTGTGAAGACCCCCAACCCCCCAAATGAATCACACTGGAAACAGAATATTTGTTTAGGATTTCTGGCACTAATTTGGCCACAACTTTATTGTTTACAGCATGTGAGTGGTTGCTTAGGCATTGGTTCGGACTACCTGAACCTGCACCAGCAGGAACAGGACTGACAGCTGGAACCTCCAGAGGTCAGTAAGGGAAAACATACTGGGGAGCACAGAGGCTGATTTCCGCCTCTTAGTTCACTCCAGATGCTCCCAGGAGCTCTGGCATGGCCCTACCCCTGAGAGGGGATCAGTGTTATGTACTGAAGTTCTCACCCTGGGCCAGCAGGGGGATACTGTAGATAGTTATGCAAATAAGGGATCGAAAGTGACGTTCAGTGATTGGATAGTTTTAGAAAATTGTTACAGTTACGTTGTACTGGAGCTCTATATAAGCAGACTAACTGAACCCTTCAGTCCAGTTCTGTTATGGCCTGTGAATAAACAAGAGTTGTTTGAAGAATCGCTGTGTCGTCTGATATGTTCACCCACAACTTAACAATCGGACAGAGCAAATCGAGCCCCTGGATTCCTTTAACGGAATTCCCTAGCAGCATCAACAAAATTGAGGGGCAGGCACAGCCAATCCATAATCCCCTCCACCAAAGAATGAACCAATGCCTAACCGCCAACCTTACAAAGTTGTGACGATTTGCTACACGGTAGGCAAAAACCAAATGGCACCAGCCAATCAGCCAAGCGGCAAAATTCCTACCGGGCCCCTGCTCCAAAAACAGACGACCCCTAGACAGGCATAGCAAGGTCAAAAACACAACCTAAAATTATAGGGAGGGAGGGAGGGAGATCCGCTGCACGATGCGAAAGAGGAAGTACTTCACCACATGCAGCCCCTTAAATAGCCCCTCAGTTGCCAATCAAACCCCAACCGACAGAAATTTGCCCCAGTAACAAAGGGGAGACCAATGACGCAAGGAGGTCATCCAAACAGGCCCGCCCCAGCAACAAGAAGGCAGTTTGGTGATCTCACAGAAACACGTGGCTCTCCATGATTTGGAGGACAC